ATAGTATGGGATTGAGCGTTATTCAATACCGGTTGACACGAGACCGACCTGAGGCTGTTCGCGTCAATGTGTCCAGGAAAACTGCTATGAAATAGCGATTACCTGATAACTGAGGTTCTTCGGAAAAAACTTTGGCCAAAACTTTTTGTCTGGTAGTAGGCTACACTGATTGTGAACGGATGGGAGTGCACAGCTAACCGAGTTTGGTGGCTGAAAATCTCGTCTTTGGAAAGAGTTCGCAGCTCGGACGCCAATTGAAGGCCAATCTTATTTGATATTATTTTTTGAATTCGGCCTAGGAGGTTTAGTACGGCCACGGTAGCACCAGCGATATGACAGCAATACTCAATACATGGATGTATCAGTGTAAGTGAAGTATTCAGTCGCGGGGCAAATATCGACGGGAACGGTTGAGAGATCGAACTTTCACTGACGATTTTTTCAGCGACTGACGTTATATATATTCACTACAATTTAAATCTTTGGAGATAGCGAGTCCAACCAGACGAAATTAGTAATTGGGGCTGTATCAGTAATAATGAAACGATTGATTAACAAGATTTTTTGAGTTGAGACTTGACACTGATTAATCCATTTGGAGACCCGAATCAATTCCGTTTCTATTCCAAACGGCGTTGTTTATCGGTCTTCCCATCCAGACAAAAATAAAGAGTAGTGTTGTCAGCATAAATGAGTGAGTCGCAGATGAGATTATCTGGGAAATCATTGATATATATATATATAAATATTGAAAACAATATAGATCTAAGAATTGAGCTCTGGAAAACTTCAGAAGATAAAGGGTATGTCCGAGAGCGTTGGCCATATAGAATAACATTAATTTTGCGATCAGAACGAAATGATTTATTGATGTCAAAAATCTGACCAGGTATGCCATAGGATCGAATTTGCGAAGGAGTTCGACATGGCAAACTCTATCAGAAGCTTTTGGAATATCCAAGGCAATTGATTTAGCCTAACCCAGGGTGGTCCAAGGTTGTCGGCTTCACGGGCCACAAAATTATTTTTGCATTGTTCGCGGGCCACAATAGTGCCAAGAATTGGTAAACAGCGCAATACAAAACAAACACTTGTATTGTGCAAACACATAGTTATTAGACATAGCCATCCCAGGCTAATAGAATCCGCATTCGATTTTTAGTTTTCTATGATGCCTATTTTGTTAGCATATTTTCCCGACCAAAAAGATAGAAAGCCAGATAATAATTTAGACTGCCAAGCACATCATTCAACTTTGCTAGTTGCCTCAGCTAGCCATAACACTAGTCAATTCAATGACATTATTGATGTAACAATATGTCAAAAAAAATTTCTGAATAACTTTATTACGAAACAACACAAAATGCGAATTTTTGATTATTCTCCGACTGTGACGCGGGCCACAGATAATAAAACGGCGGGCCACATATGGCCCGCGGGCCTGGGTTTGGACCACCCTGGCCTAACCACTCTGTTCCAATCTACGGAAAACTCTTTCAGGTATACCTGTTAACAGCTCAGCGGTGAAACGTCTACGACGAATACCATATTGTTTGTAGCTCAAAGACGATGCAATTCTAGGTGTTGGTCGGTAATGGCTGAATTGATAAGTGCTTTAAATACATTTTTTTATAATTGGCAAGAGACTAATAGGGAGATATTTAGCAGGACCAGTTTGATCACCACTGTTTTTAAAATCGGGAACAACGGTAGCAAATTTTCAGAAGTCTGAAAAAGGGTATTCTGGCAGACGTATGTTAAATAATTTTGACAATATCGAAACCAGTTTAGGAGAGCATTTTTCAACACCAAAGCAGGTAAACTATCTTAGCCGTACGAACAGTCGTGTAGAAGTACAAACGTATGTATTTTCTGGAGCGTGCGTACCGCAGCGTAATATTCGTAGTTTAACTTTTCATCTACTAAAATAAGGCATTTAAAGATTTTTTAATAGGCTTTTAGAGCGGTTTAGTGTCAACTTAATTTTAGGTATCCGAACAAAAAACATGAAAATATATAACTATTCTTACAGGTTTGAAATTGTTCAGTTGGCTCGTGTTTGGGAAAAAAAGCAAGTTGACTTTCTAAATAGCGTTGTATGGATCATAAAGAATTCGGTTCATTCGACTGAAAATCTTAATGATTCAATTTAAAAAACGTTATAGAAAAGCAATACTATCATTGTTTATTTTTTTTTATGTATATATTAATACATACAGTAACTTCAAAATCGACCAAAATGTTTTTTAAAAAAATTGTACCAATTGTCATGTCAAAGCTTTTTCGATGAAAAAAAATATAAATATGACGAATGCATAAAATAAAACAGATCTAACTTTAGTTGATAAAACTCATTGACAAACGTATATTCTAATCTCGTGGACCTCCAGAAATCAGAACTCACAAGTCCCACCGTTATGCGACCCCATCCAGATATGTTTTCTTATAAATTTGAGTTTACATTTTTTTTATATTAAGTGGTTGACAACCGGGGTTTCGCGAGTACAGTCCACGAGTTCCACAAGTTTTGAATCAAATCCAAGAGTCTATATTAATAAATATATATGTATAATATTTGAATAAAAATAAATACGTTACCTAGCTTTGCCAGTATATATTATCGAACTCGCCACAAAATGAAAATAATTTTGCCTTGCCAGTGTTAGGTTCGCTTTTATATATATATGCTTATGGTTTATACAATTCAGACAACTAAAGGCTCTGCACATGGATTTCTCGAGCCTCTGGGAAAGTTTGATTGGGATTTGGCTCCAACAAAATGAATGAAAACCATTGCTTTAGATTTCGAATTTTGGTTGATCGAAGGAGTGTTGAACTTCAATGTGTCGCTGACGCCCTGACACTGTACTGGTTTCTTTTGAACTTGGATATGGCATATTGACTTAATCCAGATCTTAATTCCTCAATTCTGCCATGTTTGCAGTTTGCACAAATGTAATCGCAAGTTAAAATTCAAAATATAATCGCCTATGTATAAACCGATGTGTCTTTCATCCACGTCTCTCGTATAATTAAACTGTTCGGTGAAATAAATAATTTTCGTTGTCTCGAGGAATATCCTTGCGACTAAAAGCAATTTCAATTAGCAGTAACGAGGATGGCGCATGTTCGGACTACGAATTCGGAATTTGATACTTTGTAAGCGTCTACAGAACGTCGAGAAAGTCAAAGATCAAAATTGGTTCAGTACGAAAGAATTGAAAGACACAGAACGAAACTAGAAAAGTATTTGTACGTGTATTTCAGCACATGCATTTCTGGCGGCCTTAGAATACTCGCATTTCGTTGTCTTATTGAATTTGAAAATAGTTTTCAATATATCGGATGTCTTATTAAGAGCTTATCCCAGATGTGTCAGAAAGGTCGTTGACAACTGGAGTTCCCGACCATGTTTAAGCGTAGTGTCATTTAAAATTGATGAACAAATTTATTATCAAATATTGCGTAAGTGTGCGTCCAATTCTTCAAGTTGGAATTAACTAGTTGGAAGTTGGAATTCATCATATCAAAAAATAGGAAAATGACAATAAGATTGTGAAAAATGCCTGAATTTACAACGGAACTATAACGTAAATCGTAATCACATAAATCGCACATCTTTCATTCTCCTATTTTCTTACTACTAACGAGTAATTTTGATATTTACGTGTTCACAGTCATTTTCGCTTAAATTCCTTATTGAGTTGACGAGGGAATTATAAATTATTCTGGCAGGATTGAGTGACATGTATAGTCGTTGAATAAAGGTTTGTAAAATTATTTTCGACCGTTGAATGAATTCGAAGGCAATGTCAGCGTTTTACTGGGGAATCTAAGCCTATTATTTGAGATTTCATTGAGGCTTATATTACTGATTTTAACCTTTATTGTATGGAATATGGAAATTTTCACAATATTGTATGTTTTGTAGTGGTACCAGCAACGAATGATCACATGTGTTCTGATATTTTCGAGAATATTTCTCATTATCAAAATTGAGTCTAATGAGCGAATCGATATTCATTTCCGTGTGAATTTCAGTCGAATATCTAAACACGGTAGTACAGGCATACATTCAGGTCAACTCAATATTTACAAGTGTAAAAGTTAAGCGATAGCATATTAATCTAAATTATTGATAGCTGCTTTGCATATTACCATGGTGTTGAAATGGTATTTCAGTTTTTAACTTGAGGCTAAATTGTTTGGGAGTCGCTCAGTTGTATTTATTGTCTTTATATAAATAGTTATATTACATTTTCCGCGTATATTTAATCGTATATCGTTATTATTTTCCAAACTCAATATTGAAAAAGACAATTTTATTGAAGATGGACCAGTACGCGCAAGATTATTCTTTCTTTCAAGCCAGTGAGGAAAAAGTTCGGTTGAAAATTCGAGTTGGGACGCAAAGCTCATTGTAATAGGGCGAACCGAATAATTCAAATGTTATATTACTCTCGTTGGGGCTGTACAGCAATCTAATTATGCTATTGAATGGTGAAAACTGAATTCCATTATGCTTTTATATAGAGGACATTGATATTTTCTGACTACATATGTCCTATGAGACCTTAACGTAGCAATTGCTCTAGTTTTGCATCCAAAATTTCAGTTAGAAATTATCATCAACTAAATGCTATGGTGTGTGTTTGATTATATAAAACTAAAACGTTATTGAAAGGTTCTGTTTTTGTTTGATTATAATATTTATAGCATCGCGATTACCCATAAAAGATTTGGCCTTTGTAGCACTTTCTTATGTTGCGTTAATTCCATCAACAAGGCTTTCAACAGCGAAAAGAGATAATGGAATACTTTTTGTCTTCAATTATCGATTGAATTGTGTTCGAAAAAATTGATCGGAAATTTTACTAAGACCGTTAAAACGTCCTCACTAAACGCACCACAAGGCCTATAAATCAATCAAGCACTCATGGGAGACCGTTTTCCTTTTTAATACTCTCACAGTAATTGAAATATAGTTACACAGTTTGGAAAGTTTTGGGTATGGAATACGAGTTATTGTTAGTCTCCTTATTGGTGTTATTCTTTGGACTTACAACAACGTCTGGATGTATCGTTGAACGGGAAAATTCTTGTACCTGCGACCCTACAATGCGACAGGTGTCATGTACACGGTTGGGAGACTCTGTGGATGATGTGTTGCCACATTTAATACCTGACGAAACTTGGCAATTGGTGATGAAACGCGTGTGGGTAGATGATGCGGTTGAACTTCGACCTCACAATTTTGTGACGCTGAAACAATTAAGATGGTTGGACTTTTCGTACAATCGGATTTCAGTGATACATCCCGAAACATTCAGGTAGATTAACAAATTGTAAACGTTTTAAGTATGTACCACACTAATTAATTTCATGTGTCCAAACGAGGTGGGGGGTCTAAGTTTTGAAATGCCTTCAATGTTTTTAAAAAAGATCGACAGCAAATAGGCTGAATCACATTTAGCTGGGATTTCACTCGTTTCAGTTTAAGTTTATAACCAAAATGACAAACGAATATTTTCGTCAAGTAACAATCTGAAAAAGCAATGCATATATACAAGAGACCGTTATATATGTATATATAATATATATATGTATATAATGTAAACTTATTTGCCTATATTACTTATATAAACGATATTTCGTCGCAGACTGCCAGCTCGACTACTCCATACTTATATGGAAATTACCCCCATGTTGGTATTGTATGCGTTGATATAAATTTTCGCGATTCATTATTACACCCTGATACATCATTACATTAATGGACCGAACTGTTGGTAAAAGCGTATTAATCTATTTAAACGCAGAGGGTTGCTTCCTCTTTGTAACTAATGAATTAAATTTGAGCTCTTATGTACTGCTTCTTATACGTATATGGTGTCCGGTCGGTGAATCAAATTATCCCTGGGTCGATAAATAACGTATTAAATACTAAGCCCTATTTGAAGAAAAGAAATCTCGAACAAGGCTATGGGTCACAGTATTCATTTTATGCGTTTCCCCCATTTTTTGTCCAGAATTTGGGCAAGTATTAGGCGATCGCCTGGTCTGTCATACTTCTTAAAATTATCCAACTCGTGTATTTTATAAATACCGCGACAATATGCAAATTTGGGATAATTGTTTTTCCATTAGACTGCCACGACTGCTAAATAACATGTTTCCTGTATTTCCACAAGTGAGAAAATTATTCGAGGAAGTTTGCGATTGCGAAAAATCGATTAGACATGGATTTCCCAATTTTTCGGTTGTAACATTTGACCAGACAAATTGTACTAGTAATGGTACTTGGGAAATGTACAAGACGAAAACATTTTTGCTATTTCAATAATATGTATCAGTACAACTTGTTTTTATACACTCAAAATATCATAAAAGCCAAACATCATCCTCTGTTAACTTCAAGTCAGGAAGATTCGAATCGTAGAAGTGCATTGGCGATAGTAGAATTTCCAATAGTCCTATTCTAAAAATAATGCCCATCTAATAATAGAAGGGTTTTCATATCACTATATCCAGAAAAACCACTATTCGCTTGTTTAAATCTACTTTTGAACTACACTTTACATAATAATGACTCTACATTTTATTTAGTACCCCAAGCGAATTTGAATTTTAAAACTTTTTTCTCACTTTCGTATAAATAGTTGTATTTTAATCATGCTCGGGGAAAATTTAAGCACATGAACATAAATCGAATCGTCAGTTGTTCTGTATTTCATATCAATCTTTTTTAGTTTATGATTTTGTGCGGAATTAACTAAAAAATACCAAATAAGAAGGTGCTGCTAGGAATTTAACAACGTTTTATTAAATTTGATGTTTTTGCATATTCACTTCTAACATGGCTTGATAAAGCAGACATTTATACATCATGCTTGGTAAATTATAGTTCGAACCATTATTGCAATTTCAACAATGAAATTTTATTGAATGAAACGGGCAAAAACTGCGCAAAAAACGTTTATTTTATTTTCACTATCCTCTAAAACCGTATGAATCACAGTCTTTTTAATTTTATGTTATTCAGTGACATGAGGAGTCTATACTTCGTGAATTTATCTCACAATCGTTTGAGGCTGCTGGAATCGAATGCATTCAATGGAAATTTACCGGATTTATTGTCCTTAGATCTTTCTTATAATCGATTGTTACTGCTGACGGACCGCAATTTCAAGGCTGTAAAGAATCTGAAATTCTTAGATCTCAGAAACAATCCAATTTTGTTCATATCAGGAGAGTAAGTATTCCTAGCTTGTTACTTATATATAGTTGTTATTCATTGATAATATTATAAACTATAATATAATTTTAAAATCCAGAAAGCTATATCCGATCACTGATTACAAAGCTTTCAATGCTACATATAAGGTAGACGGTTATTAGGATTTCGGCATTTGTCACCCAATTTTCCTGTCATTGCTACACAATTTTCGATCACCAAAAGGGAATTTTTAACTCAAAATTGCTAGTTATCACCGTTATAATGAGGTATATCTTAGGGTTCACGTAGCCCACTGTGCCGCACATCTACTTTCTTGGAAGCGTTTTAAATGCTAAGGAAGGATAGTACTTTCGCATATGAAAAAGAAAATGCAGAAAATTTAATCATATAAAATTGGGTACTATGCGCACAATAAATATTCTTAGAATCTCGATGTGAATGTATCGGCTATAAATGGGCATGATAATATTAGGATGATGCGCAGATGTCTGATTCTTGAAATTTATAATTAATTTTGAAGACGGATTGCTCGTTAACCAGGACATTAGTAATGATGCTTTGGGGAGAAAACGCGTAGCTAATGCTTGGAACATATGTTTCATTTGTCGTAAGACATAATAGTATAGTAGAATACTTATTACTGGGAGCAATCTTTTTAACCTCATTCGAGTGATGTCATCATGTATATTTCATTGCCACTATTTAATTAGACCGAACCGCAATGTTTTGGTATTTATTTCAACAATTTGTGGCAAGTATGAGCGCGGGAAACAGAGAATATACATTGAATTAATCTCGGAATCTGTAGGACATTTTCCAGCATTCTGATATAAGTGAATATGTGATTAGAAGTATTCCAAAAGCAAGTACTCTTTCCAGATATACGAACTCGGTTGAAAGAGAGCCTTACGTGATCATCTGTTAAGTGCCCCTCCGAGACGGTCTGAAGTCTCTCCATATCCATAGCAAATCAGCGGTCCATATTTTAAAACTCCAATTGATTTTTCTGAATTACAATTCGGAATGATAGGTCTCATTGGGGGTTTGATTTTATTGCATTTCGCGTTCTCGGTGACAAGCTATGCTCTCATTTAGCTGCATACGAAGACGAGGCCGTGTACATATTTTTCATATTGGAATTCACCATTCTCTCATGCATGTTTCACTTGCACTTTATTTAATGAAATGACCCGGCCGAAGATATTCCCAAAACTAGATAATAAACCACTTTATGATAAGTCCAAATGAAACTTATAAATAATAGATTAAAGTCGTTTATAGATGTATCAGCCGTTATATTTATTTATTTGTGTGTTTCATATCTCACTATTTACAATGTTCATATATCTTTGATCATTTATTAACCTTCATAATTCATCATTTCAGGGCATTCTGGGGACTTTCACAGTTGGAACGTTTGAAATTATCGTCTGCAAATTTCACCAAATTTCCGGCAGAACCATTGAGTTCTTTATTAAACCTGAGAATGCTGGAAATGCGTGATATGCCTTTCATAAAATCCATTCCAGATCATGCATTCAGGTCAGTACAATCCTCCAGTTTGCTTTTTAATTAACTATTAGCAAGCAAAGGTAATGAATGATACGGGGCAATACCGCCCGATTATTTATTTCAATAAATAAATTGGATTGTGATCTTGGAGATTTAATGTTGTTGTATCACCATCAGTCGTAACTACTGATTGTATGCGAAAGTTTCCGAAAAAATGAGTGATGTATTCTATAGTTGATTCGCAGTTCACTTATATATTCTACTACTCATGTCGGAAAATATTTAATGGTTGTGTCAAAGCAGTTGTCGGCAACCACCAGGTCGCGGTTCGTTGCAATTTCGTAAAAGGCTTCTTACTTACCGGGTAATGTATTCTTTCTGGGTTAAATGCTTTGAAACATTTTGTAACGTTACACGTAATTTCTGTCAAGAGTTGGTTATCTGATTTTTCATATCCGATGTTGAAATATTACTGATTTAAACGAAATAATGCAGTCAGTAGTGTGCTAGCTGACATAGCACATTGCAAATATATCTTTTGTGTTGCCGAAGATTTGTGGTTTTGAAAGATGGTACAAGAAACAATTCCATTGCGCAGTACGAAAAAGGTTCCCGACGCTTGTATTAAAGAATCACGCAACTTAAGCCTTAAAATTTCCATTAATATATTAAAAATGTGAATGAACGTTGAATTTCGATGCTTATATTTTATAATCCCTATATTGCACCTATTGGTGGAAGACATGAAAGGCAATTGCGGTATTTGATACAAAATCAATATGCTCGGTTTCTCCTCTTTTCTACAGGAATAAAATAAAATAACGATGAATTATTTTAATATTATAATAACCTTAAGACGACATGTTTCCTCAAACATATAAGAATCCCTTTCATATCCTTCATGTGGCAAGTGGAATATATGTTTCATTCTGGAATCGGAATCAAATATTAATGTACTGTGGTATTCGATGAAATCGATGAAAATTACATTTTCTATGTATTTATAGAAATGGGGCATAGAAAATGTGAGATTGACGACGTGAAACAAGCTTTTCATGGCGGCAAAATGATTTATCAATGCAATTTTCAACGGTAGTGATGCCATACTGAGCCGATACTATATCTGTGTGATACACAATCATGAAATCGAAACGCTAATAAAAAAAAAAACGTTGAGAATAAAAAAAAATTTTCTTGGAGGGATAAAGTTGTAAATTCTGTAATTTACAGAATTCGGAAGTATTTCAAAGTTTGAGGTATGTTAGAAATTTTAAAGATCGAAAATACATTTGTTTACCATATTTAAATCCGAATACGCAAACTACTAATTTAACCACAGATCTAATATCTAACTTTATCCATTTGCCCAAAATTTGATACCCAATAAAAAGCAGGACGTATCTCCAAATCCATCCTGACAAAAAGCACCATCGCATAAAGTTTTTACGTGAACATACTGCCCTCAGCTTATACATTCGATTTGGTTTCACTGTTAGAAGGATTACGACTACGGAACGATTGGATGAAATTCCTATTTGACATCTTCTTTATACATTTGAAACACACAAACGGCGCTTTCAGCTTGCGAGTTCTGATTTCTGATTACAATATGATTAGGTTGTCGGACTTTAAAGAATGTTTCGTTGTTTTCTAAATTCGATCACATTGTTGGAGGAAATATTCATAAACGACTCATAAGAATGATACAAGCATTTTCTATTTGTTAAAACGACTCATAAGAATGATACAGGCATTTTCTATTTGTTAATACTTTGTTCATCAATGTAAAACTACTATTTTAATACGCCGAACAAAAGTAATTTTTATTACTAGAACGGTAAATAAGAATGATTTTAAAAATATTTTTAACTGAAAAATCATTGTGATAGCCTACATTCAGCACAATGTTACAAGTTAGATGATATTTATATATATTATTTTCACATCGATTTTTTATTTATCAAGTTTTTCATTAAATAAGTTGGACACGGTATAACAGAATTCTTGTGACATCACGACATTCAATTTGACCATTTCTCTTAAAAGTCATTTAGTTATTAATTATTTAGAACAAGAATGTTGCCACGGTCCACGAAAAAGCTACGACTTTGCTCTTACTAGGCGAAGTTTCTGTTTTCTTAAATCCCATTCTAAATCCCACTTAATCCGGCCGTCATGTGTTTTGTCTCAAAAACATGTTTGATTGATTAGAAAAACTAACTTCTACTATAGTGCAATATAAACAAGGGTACATATTATAATGTTTATTAAAATAGGTGGGAAGATTTTATGAAACTGCGACTCATCAAAATAAATTTTAAGAAAGTAATCGGATTTATAATTTTATACAAAAGTTAACATTTTTACTAAGTTTTATAAAATCTGGCTCAATTTGTTAAAAATAACGATTTTGGTTGTACTTTTATTTGGAATTCTGGGATTTTTATTTTTGGTCGATAAATTGAAATATTCAGCAAGTTTGGTATTTTTATGCTATCGATGTTCGAAACTAGTCTTTGATGACGTCACCCTCATTATCGCGATAATCATTTTCTTATTGCAATCACTGTTTAGCAATGAATTAATAATGTATTTAAACGATCGATATAATAAGAGAGTTATGCTTATACATATGGACACAAAGGTCAAATGACTACCGTGGAGACAGGTCAGGAAAGGTTAAACTGATTGCTCCGAATTTCATATGAAGGTGTGCCCTGAAACATTAAAAAATACAAATTTTGGAGTGAAAGACTCAGAGAGCGGCTTTCTCTATCTTACAGTATTGAGAATTTTGAATCGATTGGCAATTAATTGGTCCAAGAAACCCAACAACGAACTGACAAACTGATTCATATGACCACTGTGTGGTCATAAATTTTTTTCAGTACGGTTGCTTTAAATTCATGAAACAATTTAATACTGTTCTAGCACAATCAGTGGTCTAGTCTAGAGTCTAGACTCTAGATAAAATAAATTTGTATTCGGAGTATTGTTTCTGAGGTTTTCTGAGCATAATTATACCGCGCCGTCATCAGTTACCTTGCGTCATCTGTGTTCTGTCGCTTCAACGGTTAGGAACAAGGATAGAGCTTGTTCTAGGATAGATAGATTTATTCGAAAATCTAAGAAAATGTTGTACGTCAGGTTACACAAGCGGAAGCGGGAGCTCGGATAGCAGTATCTACACCTGGGTCTTATTTTTCCACGCCTTTTGGAAAGCCCATTGTATTGATTATTTCAGCCATTTCCCCTATGTTCATATATGCATATGAACGTTATAATACATTAAATCCTATTTTATAATAATGTAGTTAATATTTCAGTCGGCCAAATTAACTTTATTTTTTTTATATTTTTCAGTTTCAACAGCCGACTGGAAAGTCTTGTTCTTGAGAAATTGCCATTGTCAGTTGGTGGCCTCTCAGTCGATGTTTTTTACGGGTTGGAAAGTTTACGGCACATGACTATTGCGTCTTGCAACCTGACTTCGGTGCCATGTACGTCATTGTCAAAGGTGAAACATAGTCTGGAAAGTTTGGACCTTTCGAGAAATTCAATTCAGGTGGGAATTGGTGCTAATTTTCATTTTGACTAAGCTAAATATATAATGGGATTTAATGGGTCGCGAGACATTTAATTTTATTAGCATCAGAGCCAAACTCGCTGTTGTAAAATTTGTAAATTTTTCCTCTGTCTTATTGCTAACGATGTGTCAATATAATAAGAGATACTTATTGGAATTTTACCAAATTTAAATTAAATTTTCTAGTATTAAAAGCGGCTAATACACTGGAACTACACAATTTGAGTATTAAGCTCTCATTTTCTTATGTCTCTTATTCTAAAACGTTATACCATGAGGGATTTAGTTGGCGTCGATCGACAATAAACAAATCAATTTCAGTATTCTATTGACATGGATAGGTACAAATACTGGCTTGTTTGAATGTAATGAAACTGTTATACGTTTAAAGACGAGAACAATTTTACAATATTTACAACGTTTTTTCCGTTGCATTTTACAATTGCCCTGATCCTGGTACTCAACAAACAGCGCACTCTATTTGTTGGTCATACCGGGACTGTGGAGTAGAGAATATAACATCTGACTCCAAAATCCGGACCATTTAAAAACGATTTCGACAGCCCCTCATCTCTGGCTGAAGAAAATTTTGACTCTGAGAAAACGAAACATTGATAACTTATTGGTTTATGCAAGCGTTCCTAAATTATCCATTGGAAATACTTAGTCAACTTTATCTTTTATGAGTTTCTGTCGAAAATTTTAAGTTCAGGTTATCACATTTAAAAATCTGAAATCCCGGCTCCGAATCCCAAAAAATCAGAATTTCGACTTCGCCTTTAACTCCAGGTGTTGAAAAATGCGGGTCTTGTGCCGACGTCAGTACCAAGAAAAACACGCGAACTTCAGACTTCGACTCGTCGCAGCCATGAATCACAGACATAGAAGAATAGCCACATACACGAAGATTTTCCTTAAAGCAGTGTTTAGAAAAAAGTTCATAACAAAATCAATTTATGATCCTATACTGTGTCTATCATACGCGGATTTTCACAACGTTTTTCAGCACATTTAATGCGTATTTCGCATTTTTGGGCACGATTTTTTTGCTGTTATATTTTTGACTTAAATGCTGACAAATTTAATACATATGGACACATGGAAATTACTCATATATATTTTAAATTTAAAATATATTCAACGTGCATTCACATTAAGGTCACCATCGGATTAGAGTCCAATTTAATGCGTCAACGAAGCTGTCATTTCGTGGGAAGTTTAGCTTTTATAAATTATTTATTTTGCTTGTTGTTTCAACTTATAGTACATATAACTAGAAACATCAATATTTATCATTTTAACTGATAAATCTCTTGATATACTGCGGTTGTGTGAAAATACGCGTATCGGATTTCGTATGTGATCACCCAACTTAAGTTAAAACAATTGACTGTATCTAACTCTTTCCAAACCGCAAATCATTTTAAAAGCTTGATTTTATCTGTTCAATTTTGTGAAGTAGACCTATCCAAAGCTGTTTTTTTTGTATATTCGTGTTTTTAATATGTATGTGATAACTTTAGATAAGATGTCGTTCGATTTTCTGCGTGAATTTTAAATTTTGTCACCTACTTACGAAACACAAGAGTCGTGATATCAAATGTAGAATTGGTGTCAAATTATCATCGGACATGTCGATAATATTTATAGAATTGCATTGCAAACTAGAGTAGAGAGACGGATTCTAACTTAGCTTTGAGAATACCCGAAATTTGAATAAATAAATCATAAACTTCGTCTGATCATGTGAAATGGTTAATTTGCTGACTAGAATAGAAAAATATATTTTATTTCCATGCCCATCGTGAAAAGTTGGATTTGACTTATGATTTTGTTGCAAACTGCGCAATACTTCCAAACTGGTGTTTGTATAAAAAAAATGCTCATCTCGTTCGAATCATAAATAAAATGTTGTTATTTCCTCCCCGAAAATTAATAGCAATAACACCCATGAAACGTAATTCTGTCTCAATATTTACTTCTGAGTGCATATTTGCGACAATTCGACGATTTTGCGAGAAAATAATTGAAAATATTTAATCAATAATTTGTTATATACATTTCTATATATATATATATATATATATATATATTTTCACAATTTCTTTAGATTATTCGTCCAAATAAAAGAAGTATTCAAAACAGATTTAGGATAACAAAATATTAATATTACCCCACTGTACAAGTACAATCCACGATGCATAACTTTCAACCCGACTCAGAGTTATGCCCTTACCATAATAAAAAGCATATTTGGGCTAAAATTATTTCCATTTAATTTCAAAACATTAGTCCACGTCACACCTACCCGATGTCATGTATGCCAATATTGTATACCCGCCAACAAGCAATTTTATTTTAATATTAGAAAAAAGGAAGCAATAAATTTCTTGATACACTCACGGAATATTTCTTAACTTCTTTTTCTAAATTACGTGTCGGCGTTTATGAAGTTTTATGCCAAGAAAACAAATTAAATTGGTTCAATTTTGTTTTCTAATGACCCACAGATGTAACGTAATGTACGAGTATGTCGGTACGAACGTTTGTGATCATCGAATTTCCTCAAACATTAATTTTTAATCAACATTTGTTGAAAAACTAACTCAAAATTACACCTCTGAAAGAAGCATCGACTCTATGTTCCGATGATTACAGAAAATTGGAAAGCGCACTTGTATTATTCATGGATACGTGATATCTGAGTTTGATGAGCCTGTCTCACTATGACTTAAACTTACAGTATTATAATGTGGACATGACACAATAATTATATAATTATTCATCAGGATATTTTACGTTGTTTTTTCTTTTTTTTATATTATTTTTCAACTCCCAGACTCCAGCAGAGGGATGGCGAACTTTTTCATATGAATGGGCCAAATATTATATTTTTATTGTCGGAAAGAAAAATTTGGGTCATATATTTGATCAAAGTTTGCACCAATGAAAAAGTGCTCTTGCATTTTCCCGTTATTGTGTAGTTTGACCTTCACATATGCAACACTGCGCCGATTTCTGGTATGAACTTTATTCAAGCGTGGAAACACGGATTCACGTACATACGATTTTCACTGCACAAAGTTTGCAATGCTACAGCGAAAAAAAAAACACTCTCCGCGCCATTTGATTCATGGATTGCTGAAAAATGAACAGTTGTCACACGACCAGTTGCGAGAAATATACAAATCAATTGTATTGTTATAGCGTAAATTTTGTAGCAGCATTCTTACCAGTAGCTGCATACCGGTATAGTATATATACTTTTAGTAGTTCACAGTTCACACATTGTTAGATTAAAATCAGGCTTATCGTCAATTATTATCACTGGATGGTTAGTATGTTTTTGCATAATTCGTAACTTGGCGGGTCACTGATAAAAACATGGTAGGTCATGGTCATGATCATGAACTACCTTAATTTTGAAATTACTCGACTAGATAATATGATACGTATAGATAAAAACAATGACAGCAATATCTAAAATGGACAAGAATGATAGAACATTAATCTGATTGTTAAATAATTGAACTTATGGTCCCTTCAAACCCCCTATTCAAGAAAATGTTCATGATTTGCCAGGGTCAAGTTAAGTAGTAAAATACATTTATTTGACCCTGATGTCGAAAATAGTACTTTTTGAATGCCTATAACCTCTTTTCGCCCTGGCTGTGTCCTTTTTTTGCTTTTGGTAATTACCTATACCGGTAACACAAAGTTCGAAGTTAACGCAGAATACATAAATTATTTTAATTGTGTTGCATGTGATACTAAACTAAAAAAGGTGAAAAATTTGTGTCATTTTCCCTTCATGACTGATTTCAATCGTTCCAGGCTTTAATTTTGGGTTTCTAAACTAACTATTAAGCGTACTTTCGTATACTTTTGCCCTGAACGTAAGTACACATTTGGACGGTATTATAATTTGAAGTGGTTACTCTCTGCATTTTTTCCATTCATTTGAAAGCAATTCTACTGTTTGAAAAACTGATAATTTTCTGTGGTTTATCAATTTCATTTTGAAAATATCAGTTAGGCATCACAGAAGAAATGAATGTTAGTAGAAAGTTTTTTCTTTGGTCATTTTCTGATTGGATAAATTGCATATTTTGCAAACAGCATATTTTTATCCTAAATTACGCCTTATGTTTTCAGATCATATATCCGGATGATTTATCAGGTCTCTCGGATTTAAAAAATTTGACTCTGCACGACACGCATTTGCAAGAGATAAAACCGGGATCATTTATCAAATTAGAAAAACTTGAAGCTTTAGACTTATCCAACAACAGGTGGGATTTTGTATTGTTGTTTTGAATTGGCCGAAATATCTAATACAAAATGATATTTCGTATTAATTGGGTATCGTAGTAACCCGACCAAACACCTATAACTATACGAACCACGTGACCTTGTTGGGTTACTAATTCAGTTTCAACATTATGTGTACATGATAATGTCGTGTAGAAACCGCCGCCGTGCCAGCCCAATACCATTTCGAAATATCGGTAATGCATTCCCAACAACGTTTGTTCTTTTAAAACAAATCCATACGCACCATTCACGCGCCACAACATTGGTTTAAATAGGAAAACGCTACAAAAACGAGGTAGACCACTATTCCACCCCCGTAATCCCTATCGCGTTAGGGGTCGATATCTATCCCTTATATTGAAATTGTCTCGAAGAAGGGGGTGCTTTTACTGTGCACTATCCAATCAATCACTCTATGCTATATACACGTGCTTTCAAAGAACCGCTGGTACTTTTAGACGAAATTTTTCAGTTGTGGTTGGTGATTACAACACGGAACGTCAAAGTCTTTTTTTAGTCAATCGAGAAAATTTAAAATATATATATATATATACAAATAGATAATTCCACGCAATTCTGCTTTGATACGTAACTTACTTAGTGATTGAAATAAAATAAAAGCATTCAAAATGATTATACAATGCATATTGTTCTGTGCTAAGAATTCCATTGAATTTCTCATACTGTTACGACTCTGTTTCTATTGTTTCTAGTGACGGCATAAAAATACCATAACAGCTTTACTTACTGTAACAAAACACACGCGTTTGGACAAATTTTGGCGACGTATTGTACTCCGAAATCATAGGAATATTTTATATTAAATCATGTAAATGTCATATATATATTCAGGTTGAGAACCTTGTACCATGATTCATTTCCGGAGAATTTAACCCAACTGCAGGAGATACGTTTGACTAATAATGTTTGGTCATGTGATTGTAGTCTGAAGTGGTTAACAGAGTCTCACATTAGTTTGGGACATGATCACGTAACCTGCACTGACCCCAGGAGCGAAAGGGTAAGTTATCAAGACCCATGTCAAAACCTAGCATTTTATTTTTATTTTCCGACAGTTGTACGCGTATTGACAAAGTACTTTTTGACTCATATGTCAAAACGAGAGATCGATGCTCATATTATATATAGACACGAAAATTAAATGACTGACCGCAGTAACCTATGCAAACTACATAGAAATCTTTTATCTGATCATTCAAATCGAACTTGCAAATTAAGTTCCCCAACGTAGCAACTCACCTCAGCGCCGCTAAGGCCTAAGCTGAGCATCGGTTTGTCGAACATATGACGTACTAGTCTGGCGGAATACTACGTAATGGCGAAAATAGCAAAATTTCGAGTTAATCTTTGGCGATTTCTTCAGTATTTAATTATTGAAATCGACTCGTCTATTAGATGCGGAGGAAGAATATTGTTTCATAACAACATTAATTCTGGAAAACGATCCATATGTAATATTGTATCCAATAAACTACTTCTGATTACGTACGCGTCATGTTATTAATTGCTTTGTAAAGTCTTTGCCATTTAATTATGATCCACACTTGCCCCATACAATGTACGTCTTTCTGAGTTAGGTTAGATATATATTGTGGGGTGAATAGTTAAAGGAAGCATATGAAGTTGGGATTCGTGCTATGCTCTGGGATAAGATATACCGGTATGTAAGACTTTGGCAGAAGATTGGAACATTCATATGAAGTGAGATTCATGCCGCATGTCGCATGTGGGACAAGGCATTTTCTAGATTTAATTTTCACATTTTGATACCAAATCAAATGCATGAATATTATTATTTGAATCCCAGGGGAAGAGTCTTAAGGAAATGAGAAAGAAACTTCCTGATACCTTCTATAAATGTAAATCACCTATAATTACCACAAAAGAATACAGCGAAGAGAGATACGTCGAGGGCGATCAGGCACTGTTATATTGTGATGCTATTGGGGAACCTTTGTCATTTTCTTGGTACTTTGCAGGTTAGAGAAATGAATTTGAAAAATTAAATAAAGATATTTTACTGCATTGTGCTTATATATAATAGGGAGTCACGTGATACCGATGAGGGTTCGTATGTTTTAACATGTTCGGGATATCTCGGTAGAGACATTAAAGAATATTTGAAGCTTCGTGGGATCGTAAAAACTTAGTTATTTGTGATATACTCCACGAAAACAGTTTAAAAATATCTGCAATATTACCACGTTAAGATCATTTGTTTACGAACGTAGAAAAACATATAATATATATTTATTTATCACTACATTTCTTACCCGACTTTTTAACTTGGCAATGGGGTTCCGCTTAACCAAAAGGTTGAAAACAAATGTAAACTTATCTAATTTTTAGGTACAGTCATACCAGTTCGTGGAAGTGATTTACGAAAAAATGGAAAAGAACTTACTATACGCAACGTTCAACTTAATGACGCGGGAGAATATACTTGCATTATACGAAATGCTGGAGGACAAAAGTCGATAACTGTACTCTTGCATGTAGATGCAGCCAAGCACGGAGACATGAGCAGCAATTTGCCTCCTGGTCGTGGTAATGACGGAAGCGTTAAAGATTCCGGTAAAGACTGTTCAACTGGCACGCAAAATATTCGACGTGAATTCAGTAGAAAACCTGGTTTTTCCTCTGAAAATTCTTTCGACAAATCGAATATCGCCACAACAGCGATACTGATCACAATTTTAGGCTGTGTCACAACACTAGGAGTCGCTGGTGTTTTTTTGTTTGTTGGATGCGTGTGGAGTAAAAGACGAGATGCTGCTGGTCAAAATTCACGAAACACGCAAAACTCTGCTCCGTCAGTAAACGTAAACGGTCATTGCAAACACGAACAATCAAAAAATGCAAGCAAAAAGACCATGAAATCAATTGAACTTACAGATGAGCGTGTAGTGTTTGGAGGTCATGGTATTTACTCCAAACCGATACAAGACTTGGACTGCCCGAAAATAGATAGGCAGTCAAATATCAACAGAAAAAAATAACGAGCCGGGCAACATCCTGTAGTATTTGCGAGCTCAGAGAAGAACGCAGTTTACAATTGCGTATACAATCATGGGTTCAAAAATGCCCGACGCTTCAACGTTCCGATTACGGCATCAAATAAGCGTGCCTTTGTTTGGAGGTATTAGATTGTAATTCATCTTTTTGTATTTCTCAAATTTTTCATTCAAATATCTCACAACGGAAAATATTTGTAAAGTTACAGAGAACTGATGCATGGTCGGTTGCCACATAAATTAGAGTATTTACATGTATTTCAGCTTTGCACTTCTTTTGAAATGTCTTGAACTATTCCAGTTCGAAATACCCAATTTTCAACTTCGTTTTTTATATTTTGCGTAAAATGACTTGAAATTCAAATTCCACTTGCTTTTATTTGCGTTTTATGCAACACAGTTAAGAGAATTATTTTGAACTACACTGTGGTACAACAAAATTAAATACACTCAAGCCGGGAATTCGGGAAAATTAAATCCTAAACATGCGACATAAAAGTACAACACGGGCTTTGCAAAGTTCGATTTGAAGCGTACAAAATATAGTAGTAATTCGCTCATGGCGACAGGAGAATTGAAATGCCTCTCAGTGGACATTTCGTTCAATTGGCATTAAAAATGTATCACTACAAAACGATCCATTTGGTGAAATTCAAAGCCTAGCGCCTGATCCCACCGCAGACGTCTTCCCGCATCGCAGACAGCCATTAAAAAAACCTTCACAAATGATAATCCTAAACAGTGCCTCAGACAACCACTTAATTCATATATTTGCGAAGCTGTCACAACCTCTCATTGAACAATTTCAAATACAAAAATGGGTTTATTTTACTAGCTGCAAAAAGCCAAGTTGAAGTCATGTTTTACTGCCCATCCACTTGACGGACAAATTCAACCACACACTAACATTGACATTAATCCCATCCCTGATTGTCTTCTCACTAACACCAAACAAAAACAATATAACCTGCTATACACCATATTGTTACTTTATTTTTTCAACAAGATAAGAGAATGATTGCAAAAACAAATTATAATAGTTGCTGCAAGGCCAAGCCAGCATTTGTTTTTTTTTACCACAAAGACATATTCAACTATGAAATGATCAGAAAACCTAAGAAATGGATTAAAGCTTCAATATTTGTGACACACGACAATACACAGCTCAATTACCGGTTCCAAGAAAATAGCTTTATTGATTTAAAATAGCAGACATTTTGCACCAAAGGGAAACTACTTGAATTTAATCCAGAAAAGCCATTTGTGGGTAATGAAGAAATACCATGAGACCACATGTATTCAATTAAGCAGGAATGACTTTGTTATGGCTGACATCTTTGAATGAATCTAGGGTAGAGGCAGACATCTCTTATATGGTATTGGTTGCAAAGCCATGTTAAAATTCTTTCCAATCCCAAACCATATCCACCATGAGGACATGTTCCAAATTTTCGCTAAACATTAAAAGCATATATAGTATTAATATTAACTAAGAAATGTTGAAGTTATTATTCAATGACAAAATAATGGAAACATTACTAATTTGGTGATTCGACAAATAGGAGGACATTGTTGATGTTAAAGGTTGCAAGACAAGCACTTACACTACTGGTTCTCAATATTTTTTTCTCAAGTTGCACAAGAAATTTCTGTGGCCTACTAACTTGCATATGCAAGAATAAAACTACAGGAAAAACAGAAAAGTCTTATCGCAAAGGAAAATTACCGTTTTGTACCAGAACAGCATTATCATTCATTTCTAATACAATCAAATTTAACTAATTTATCAATAAGTAACAATTTTTAATAGATTTGTGGCCTACCTAGATTTGTAGCAAAGACCAAATAACAACAAGAAAATCTGTTAGCAAACCTGGTCTGTGTACCAATAATATGGCTTTGAAGAAATTCCTTCAGTTTCATAAGCTTTCATTAATTCATCATGATCCCACATTCTCATTGATCCTCCAACTATTTCACCAACGTTCGGCATGAGTACATCCACCTATAATTAAATATAGGATAGAATTTTGTTATTCGTACTGGGGGATAAGAGAGTGATTAGGCGAAGCAGTTTTCCAAAAAAATCATCAAATCACTGATTGAAAACAGCAAATTTACCTACTAACAATTGGTGCAAAATATCATAAATTAGACCTCAAAATATGATAACTCACTGATTCTGTCAGCGTGGCATCATCTGCGCATTTCTGCATGTAGAATGACTTGATAGGAGCTGGAAATTTACATAACATGATGGGTTCATTAATTGCATCAGTCATCTTTCTCTCAGGCATTTCAGGAATATCTTCACCATGTTCATAGTATGTTCCTGTCACAGAAAATATGAATAGGATTTGACCAATTTGACATCAAAATAATAATAAAAACTATGATTCGACCATGACGATGCATAAAAAGATGATGAATTGAACAAGATAACAAAAACAAATAGTTTGAACAACATTTTTTGCTATATAAAAGCACCAAGTCATACAAGATACAACAAAGTAAGAGTGTAGAGTAGGGTAAAATTTACAACAGCCTCCAAAACTCCCGATCTTTTGACTTTGGCTACTGCTCATGATTTTGTTCCATCCACGTCTCCTGACTCCAGGTTGAACATAATTTACACTCCAACTTGCAGAAAACCAAATTTCAAACAGAAATTTTTGGCACATGCAAGGCCATTTTCAGTTGGGAATGTTTAGTCAACCCAATGTTTTTTTGATTTAGACTCAAATTTTGACATCAATTTTCCACCATTAGAAATCTAAAAATCAGACAGTGAAACTTCTACTTTGTCTCAGACTCTGGGATCTTTAACGACTCCGATATCAATAAAAACACAACATACTCTAACTCCAGAACTAAGAAGAGTAAGGCAATATACACTGTGTGAATTACCATCATCTTTTTTGACATCATGTTCTTTCAACCATTTAATTGCTTCAGAATATTCCATCCTTTTGAATGGTCGTTTTGGAGGAACAAAGTCCTAAAATAAATGAAATTATGATCATATTTTGAGTTTGATAAATTCCAATCCAAAGGATGTATGAATAGTACTTACAGGATTGAGGTCTTTTATTAATTGTCCAGCAGGAGTTTTCATAACTCTTTCGATAACATCACAAATTAAATATTCTAATTTATCCAATAGGTCTTCAAAAGTAATGAAAGCACATTCAGCTTCAACATGAGTGTACCTAAAAAGTAAAAAGCACTGTTGATTGACTTCACATAAAAAGTTTTTGATCAGGTTCTCAGAGTCGCTTTCTCGAATTCCCTGCAGCCAGTTCAAAATGTAGCTTTATTAATGACATAAGTTGGAATTCACAATTGAAACGCTTCTTCCAGGTCAAATTCCGTTTTTCCCGGAGGAAAAGTATTTTTATCAGATTCCCAACTCTGAAAAGTTTGTGGGTGTTATTGAACACAAAAAAGCTTTTGAGGACAGGACAAAGAATTGATTGTATGATTGGATTTCTCTCATTATGTGAGTGATTGCCAGCAAATTTCCCCAGTAGCAATTTTACATCATATATGTGTTGGTATATAAAACATAGCTTTAAAAAAATAATCATCATAAACGATTATATCAAAAAATGTTGCATTCCAGATATTAGCACGTATTTATCGATATATTTTTTAGTGATTTTCATTCCAACTTCAGTAATGTCTTGAATAAGCTACCATTCAAGTAAACATTTTTAAATAAATCTATTATTGCATAACAATGGCATAAATAAACAACAATCCTACTCTGCTAAATGTCGTCTTGTTCGACTTTGTTCAGCTCTGAATGATTCGGCAAGACAGAACACGTCACCAAGGGATGCAAGACATGTTTCAAGATAGAGTTGAGATGATTGAGTTAAATAAGCTTGTTCTCCAAAATAATCAAACTTAAACAACGTTGATCCGCCTTCACATTGTGTCATCACTAAAGATGGTGGTGTTACCTAAAGTTGGAAAAAACTTGATATATAAATTTCATACGGAATAATCAATATTGAATAAGGCAAAAACGAGAATATCAGTCGAAGACAGAAGACTTATCGATCGAAACTGCGGTTTCGAATCATGACTCTATAGTGACACCGCGTGTCCCATCACTAATTAATTAATAAATCGCTAATTATACGACATAATTCATACAAAATCAATTGGCTCCTGGTCAGAGATATGATGAATGCACATGCAAAATTTTGAGCAGATTCAACCTAGCTTACTTGAGATTTCACTTTCATTTAACACTAACAGACAAACAAACAAACATACAGACAGACAAATACCTATCAACATACTTACCGATCTTAAGATCGATAAGTAACAAGCATAAAAGAGCCATTACCTCAGAATAGCCATTTGCAAAGTAGTGGTCACGAAATGCTTGCATTAGATAGGATCGAACTCGCAATATTTTTGATGTTTGTTCACCACGAATAACAAGATGGCGATTGTCGAGACGAATGTCCACATCAGCGTCCTGAAAAATTTCAAGCATTGGAATTATATTTTAATATATTCATTCTAAACAAAAATTCAACTTGAAAGTTTATAGAAAATGAATTTAAAGATATGGATGAGTGGTTTAATAACTGGTTGAATAGTCCGACACTGACTGGTAACCAGACGAGAGATCATGGTTTTCCATCATATCGCCTTTCCTCTCCCCTTGGGCAAATATGACAGTCATAACCTATTCAAGTATACAGATAATTAAGATTGATTTTATTTCATATAACATCAGCATTTTTGCACTGAAATCCTAATTTTCATAAAAAATGGATGTATCATAAATTCATGAGCAAAATGAATTGCAGAATATTTTAATAACCGAAGTACTTAAAATTCCAAATGTGAACGATTTAAAATTATCTGGAACTTCTAGATTGAACGTAGACATTTTTCTTTATCACTGAATATCACATAAGAATCAATAAACTAGAATGTAAATCAATCAATATCTACTTGCCTGGTTAAGAACGTTATCTATCCCTCCAGGTGGAGCCAAACCAACTAGTTCCCAGTAGTCGCATATCAGCTCATGACCTCCAGGTGCCTGAGAGAGAAATTTTCAAATATTAGAACAAGGAACAATTTGAATGTACTAATATTTTTAACACAATGAGAAATATATATTATAACAGTAGTTCACCAAAGTGCACGTATCAATATATAATTTAAGAAACTGTAGAGCGAGTATGAAGTATTTTCTCATCGACAGAGGAGAATTAGTGAAAATAGAAAATATATATTCATCAGTCTATAAAAAACTATTAAAAATTTCTGATAGTAGATAATCTAAAATAGAGATCTGACACTTGTAAAGGCTGCAAAGTTTAGAATGTGCTCGATATGCTTGACCTTGACCCATAAGATACATGCTAGTTAGGGCTTCCTATTGATTCTTCAGGATTGGAAATGAAACAGTCGCCCACTCGCCAAATCTTGTTACTTTTTTGAACCCATCAAAAATAATACGTTATGGACAAAAATCATCTGCATGTTGTATTGAATATGAGAGATTGGATGACAAAATATGTTACATTACATCAAAATACTGAATATGGTGCTTGAAAAAAACTCATACATACCGATTTTCCTTCTGGGACAGGAGTTACAACGCCATATAATGCTACTGTGCTTTCAGGTGATAAGACAAGTGCATTATACGATTGACACAGAGTATCCTGTAGAACACATTGTAAGTATCCACTTCCATCTCGTAATACGATAAACATCAAAGTTTTTCCTGATAATTTGAATGAAAGTTGTAATATTACACAGGGATTAAGATTATAATAACTTTAATTCAACATTTATCCAATTTTCTTAAATTTCTACCTTGTCGACGTAAGCGATGAACCCAACCAAATATCTTCACTCTTGTTCCTCGCTTATCTGTGCTTTCTCGTATTTTTACCTGAAAATGAATCATTTTCAATAATATAATTGAACGCAACTAGTAACTGCTTCTAGTTATGGGGAATGACTGTCATTTACAAGCCTGACTTGTCCAAACACAAGAGCCCAATTTTTACCACAAACTACACGCATTGTGGAAAATTTCCATACTTCCAATTCCCAAGATTTACATATTTATCTAGAGGAGGGAAAAGATGACAGGCCTTTCGCCCAGTAACCATTCCATGCCAGATATGGGAAGAGTTCAGGTGTATGGACTTGATAGTGGAGAAAGCCATAACTGACCAACAGTTATGTGAACCATCCTACAAAAGTCAGTGATCCATCCATCGCATCAATATTCATCACAAGATTCCAGGTGGCACCCTGGATCAGGGTACAATAGCGAGAAAGTTTCTATCTCAATTAACTGAATTTATTGCTGAAAAACATATAATGAATTCTCACCATTTTAGCAGCAGGTAATGATTTATCTTCCTGTATTTGAATTTGTTTTGCTTCCTCAAGATTCTTTTCTCTTCGTTCAGCATCTTCTTGTTCACGAATCTGTTAATTATTACAGGTTTTGTTTGAATTTTTTTATTACAAAAATTTTTAAAATCACATAAACAAAAATAAAAAGTAGAAACCTTTTTTGCTTCATCCTTCCGTTTTTCAGACTGATATATTTTAACTTGCTTCTTTAGTTGGGCTTTTGCGATCGGTTCATAGTTCTAAAAATTACGAATGGAATTTTATAACATTAATCAGAGATTAAAAAATATCAAAATTTCGTATTGGTGATTAATCTAAATTAGTACTACTTATTCAACAAATTTTTCCACTCATTTTTGAACAAATAGTTTTCAACCGGGTGTAAATTTGAGATGAATCTAACTCATTTCAGAGGTAAATTTTGTGAGTAAATAACCAAATCAATATTAAGATTGCTTCCATTGCATATTAGAGAGATTGAAAGGCAAAGTGCAACAGAGTTCTATAAAATGATAATTGGGTGAGGAATACATTTTACTTTAATATTTTTGTCGAGGGTTATTAAACAAGAAAATGAAGGCCGAGAACCATTGATTCAAATAAATTCCCTCATAATAATTTGAGAAGTGTAAGTTATGAGGATTCCAACAGAAATGATAAAAGATATTTATAACATATTGGAAGATGGATATGACCAACTTGATGACATATAATTAAGACAATGCTAATGAACTAACAATAAAAAACAATTGAAAAACTAGGAATTACATTTCCTTCCTTTGAATCAACATAGATCGCAGGCCATGGTTCTCCACCAGATTGCTGTAATGCTTTCAGCACACTTTTGAATGGACTTGCTTCACTTCCAAGTCCATCTTTATCACATCCTCGTTTCTCGCTGGTATATAGTTCACCTGGTGAAAAAAGTACAACAACTGATTATGAGAAACTGAATTCAATATTTTGATTTCTAATATACTGAATATAGCTACTCACTTATTTTCAAATCTTTTATTCCTTCCACTTCTGCCATTTCTAAGTAATTGAGATATGATATATTTAAATCAGTTCAGCAGAATTCAGCAACTGTTATTCACACAGATAGACTATAGTTTAGTCTATCATTTCAATAAAATAAAAAAGTCACCACCAAGTTAAAGTCACCATAACTTAAAAGCTCCTAAGTAACAATACAGCAATACGTTTTCTGCTTCTTAATCCTTAATCATTAGAATCAATCTATGCATTGCTCTAACTCATGTTTTGTCAGTTTGTAAGTAGGCTAGTTTTCAGTCTTCTGGTACTGTATTAGCCCTTCACTGCGTCCTACCCCAATACAGCAATATCGCATATCCATAACTGTATGCTACCTTAAAAAGTCTATTATGTCTATCACTAACACAAAGCAACTGCTTAAATTGGTAACCACTCAGCCGCTTGAAAAACATACGAAGCACTCAAATATTCTCAAAGAGTCTGTAAGTAACTAATAATAAAGTCATAGCGTTACTGCTGTACTGCAGTACTGTTATAAACGGTAGGTATAATTCCAAATAAACGAATATTTATGATGCAGTGATTTTTTTTGTATTTATAGTTTACTTCTGACTAGCTACCGTATAGCGCGGAAAAAATCCTGAAATTATGTCATCATTCAGCGTATTATCAAAATATTTATTTTATTTCAGCACGATCTGACGATTCCGTATCTAGCCAATAAGATTGCTGTATTCAGGTATTGTCAAGTTTTAGTATTACAGCATTATGACATGTTTCATCACGTCCTGTTTCATGATTTCTTATCTGACCATTTCATTGGAAGGATATTATAATTGATAGCAAACACGTAAGCTCCCAATTAGGATATTGCCTCAAAAATAAGATCAAACGGCCCACCCCAGCTGACCAACGTTACATCATCCACAATATGCCAAACCGCCGTCGTAAAATATGAAGTGACACGCCCATTAAACGCCTTCATCGACACGTGTTACGTCAGCCCAACGACTGGTCAGCCGAAGTAAAATTGAATATTTATCTCAAGATGGGGGGACTCTTACGAATCAGGTACGGAATGGTAATAGTCGAGAAGATAGTTATTCAGGTCCCGTACATATTCCCAATGCATACATGAAAACCTATTAAATGATTTTCCCATCACATGTCATACGGTATCCATTGGTCACATATTTACGGTTACACAACTTGCATATTTAAATAGCAGAAGAAGATTTAAACAGAGTCGAGTCTTCTAGCGGTCAAGTTAAGATCATTGTTATTTTTATTTAAAATATTACCAATTATAATTCAAAAGCTTTTGACATAATTGAAATGTTAAAATAAACTGAAGTTGTGCGTCTTGTAACTTTTTTTATATTTTTTTAAATTCATCGGATGGCTGCGCATAGGGGAATCACAGAAATTACAGAACGTGTGTTGTTTTTTACTGGATTACAATTCACTGGTTCAGGAGTCACTGTTCTCTTGGCATTTGCTTTCTCTATTTTTTGCGGCTTGGTCGTTCAGTTTGATGCGTATCTGATGGATGGATCTGGTGGAACACAAGTAAAGAAACATGATGCAGGTGGTGGAATGTCAGAGAAGGCCAGGTTGAAAGCAGAACGTAGAGCCAAACAAGAAAAAGAGCGTGCTCTCAAACAGGCCAAGAAAGCCGAGAAGGAAGGTGAAACTAAAATCAAAGCACAGAATGTTCGAATTTCTAGCAACGTTCAAGCGGATGATCCGAAAATACGAAAGAAAACTGCCAAAAAATTGGAGAGAGAACAAATTCCGAAAAGAGCAGAAGGGCCAAAGAAAGTTGGATTGTTTTCGCATTTGCATCAGTACCAAAGAGGTATTTCAATGACGAAAGAACTTGGTTTGGGTAGCACTAAGATTCATCCATCAATTCTTCGCTTAGGTCTGCAGTATGCAGAGGGAGTCATATCTGGTTCAAATGCGAGGTGCGCTGCTTTAATCAATGCAATGAAAGAGGTTGTTCTTGACTATCAAACCCCACCCGATAAAGAATTGAGCCGTGATTTGGAGTCAAAAATCAAACCGTGTATCACGTTTTTAAATCAATGTCGTCCTTTATCAGTATCAATGCAAAATGCAATTAAATTTATCAAGGCACAAATATCGAGTAGTAAAAGTGAATTATCGGATGTCGAAGCAAAACATAAATTATGTGAGAGTTTTGATAATTATGTTGAAGTGAACATTCATTTAGCGGGTGAAGCAATATCGAAATTTGCTCGGCAAACTATTAAAAACGATGATGTTGTGCTGATTTATGGAGGATCTTCATTAATCAACCGTGTTTTAATTGACGCTCACAATGCTGGCTGCAATTTTAGAGTCGTTGTTGTCGATGGTCGCCCACGATTAAGTGGTATAGGAGCACTACAAAAATTGACAAAAGCTGGGATAAGTTGCAGCTATACTCTTGTGTCTGGAGTAACTTATTTGCTTCCTGAAATCACCAAAGTCATGTATGGTGCTCATGGTTTACTCTCAAATGGTTATGTTATTGGAGCTGTTGGTACTTCACTAGTTTCTCTTGCAGCTCAAAGCCTAAATATACCAGTTATCGTTTGCTGTGAGACATATAAATTCTGTGAACGAGTTCAAACCGATTCAATTGTGAATAATGAAATTGGTGATCCACTCGATTTACTTGCTGATGACGGCAGCTATGATCCTATGCTCATCAGCAAGGAATCATGGAATGAACTAGAAAACTTGAAAGTTTTGCATTTGACATACGATGTCACACCCCCAGATCTTATCGCTACAGTTGTGACTGACCTCGGAATGATTCCATGCACTTCTGTTCCTGTTGTATTGAGACTTAAAAATTTGGAGTTGGATACGTCTTGAAACTTTATTTTGCATCTGCATTTTTATAAAATGTATCGTAAAAAAAAACTCTTTGGTTGAGTTGAAATCCCTATTTGTGTGTGACCACTCTATTATAGTAATATCATGGCATATGAGACCTGTATGTGGCCAAACTAGTAAATATTGTTGTTCAGAATGATGCAGATATAACAAACAATATAATGGGATGTTTTGTTTGATTTTTTTCAATAAATTTATTATTAATAATGTACCTTGTGCAAGTGCAGCGGTTCCCAAACTTTTTGTCTGCGCGTGGCCAAATTATCAGGGAAAAAAATTCACGGAACATGAAAAAAAATGCTGCTTTCAAATAAAACACAATTATGTGATAGTTAGTGTGTACTTTATGCCTTTTAAAGTTTGTAAACATGTAGGCCTAAACAATATAGGCAAAAAGTCAACTCTTCCTTATCTCTGCATAGTTTTCCTTTTAAATACTGAAAAAATCACTCGTGTTTGCTAAACTCGGTTCAACAGATAAATAAATCGCAACTCATGAAATTGCAGTATGTAAAATATTCATGTTTAATACAATTTAGTTAATTTTTGCAACACACCTTTTGGGAACCGCTGTGCTAGTGAATTTGTTTTTGTATTCTACATTTGTGCAAATGGAATTTTGTTCCTTATTTGGGGAGCATATGTTTAAAATAGGATTGATACTATGAATTGTTGACATGAAAATGTTCCAGAATAATAAAGTAACTTGTTTGTATTAAAAGATCGATTTACTAATATTATCAGGATATGTTAATAAGAGGATGTTCAATACATAAATTGGTTCTCAATATCAAGTCATGTACCTTCATACAAAATGCATTTTGTGCTGTGATTGGGCATGGAAAGAGTTACGCAACGCTTCACCAACCTGTGATGGTGAAAGAAGTTTTGAATGCTTTATATCCTCAAAATGGTGATGTAATTCTTGATATGACGTTTGGTGCTGGAGGACACACAAAAGCAATTCTCGAGAATTGCCCCGATTGCAAAGTAATTGCACTTGACAGAGATCCATATGCAAATAGTCTTGCTCAGCAATTAAGAGAGGAAACCAGGTTAGTAATAGTCAGTGCTAGCATGTTTGATACCAAAAAAGTTAAAATATATAACAATAAATACTTAAATCTGTTTGAAGCAAAGCAAAAATGTACTACAGCTAAAAGTGATTTACATGTCACTTGTACAGCACCTATTATCAAAGGGAACTATCCTGTCACTATCAAATATAAAGTTTAGTAGAGAATGGGTCTTCCGTACCTGCAATCCTTCAATTAGTTTGTGAAGTTAATAATAAAATACCATCAAACTAAAATTTTGACAGCTCTTCAGAGTCAATTATTACAATGGGTCATAATATTCTTTTGGAGTAGAATCCTTTTGTTAAAATAGCAATGAGGAGGCCTCCGAGTGCTTTTCAATTTCTTAACTTTCATGTATTCATAGTGCATCTATCAGTCATCCTTGGTTTCCACAACTTACCGGTATGTCCTTTTGCTGCTCTGATATATATTTATGGGCATCCAATTTGATCATATTATAAAAACACTACTTCACAGCGAAAGAGTAATCCCAGTTCTTGGGAGATTCAGTGAGTTGGAGAAGATTTTTCAGCATCTTAAAATCGAAGAAATCAATGGAGCTATTCTGGATGCAGGTTGCTCATCAATGCAATTCGATACCGGTAGAAGAGGATTTGCAATATCAAAGGATGGACCTTTGGACATGAGAATGGATGGTGACAGGTTATTACAATCGAATTTCCAAGTTTTATAATACCTTCTAGTTAGGTTGTGATGCTTTACCATATTTTCACAAGGTATCCAGACATGCCAAGTGCTGCTGATGTTGTGAACAGAATGAGTGCAAAGGATTTAGCGGAGATATTATGTAAGTGATTATATATATATTGAGTATATGCGTAACTTGAGTGATGATCAAAAATGGATAATGAATTTTATTATTAGATAAGTATGGTGATGAAAGATATGCTCACAAAATAGCAAGAAAGATCATTCAATATCGAAGTGAGGTTGGACCAATTGGACGAACTCGGGAACTTGCCAACATTGTTAAAAGTGCTTTCGATGAATGGCCGAAATCAGGCCTCAGAAAAGATGCTTTGAACAGGACGTGAGTGAAAATTTCGGAATGATATTCAAAAGAATATTTCCCTAGTAACAGCTTTTTTACAAGTGTATTTATCTGAATTAAACACCATTTTTTGATAACTGATTAAAGACAAGTAAACTTCTGAATTGTCTATCTTAAAAATATATGATATGTCAAAGTATGAAATATGCATTAACGTCTAGCACACTTCAGAGATAATATCTGTCACTGCCAATATGACAAAGCTTGATATGAAAGTAATTACATATACTTGATTGATTGAAATAGATTCTATCTACTACAGAGCACATAGTGCAACAAAAACATTCATGGCTATAAGGATATTTGTGAATAATGAACTCAACGAACTGCATGAAGGTCTGAAAACTGTTGAAAGGTACATGAAAAAGGGTAAGTGATTTAAATTCAGGATTGAAAACCCAAGCTGAATCCAACAGTGTAATGTTTTGGTCACATCGACATAGCGAGTGAATTTTCAGTATTTTGCAATACAATCTCGCTTGAAAACCATATATTTGCGGCGATTAGTCAAATCTCGGTTTGAACTTTGAGCATTTGCAACAATGTATTAACAATCTTATCTTTCAGGTGGACGACTGACTGCCATCACCTTTCACTCTTTGGAGGATGTGATTGTCAAAAGGGTGATATCAGGGAGGGATATTCATAAACCGAGAGGAATGTCATTATCTCAGCAGGTTTTTTATGCATGTTTGTTTATGATTTTTTGGACCTGTCTTCTGCATTTAAACGTGCCACAAGTTTGATAAATGCGGGAACCTTTTGCCTAAGATGCTTCTGGGCCCATAATAACTGTTCAAAATAATTTGCCCATGTTGTTTTGTTATCTCTCATAAAGCGCTGCCCTTGCTCATTTTATCATCATTTGGTTAACAGCGCAGGATAGAATCTGCAAGTGAAATAAAACCAGAGAGAAAATGGATGACTTTGAATAAGAAGATTGTTATACCACAATTCGATGAAGTGGATGACAATGCAAGATCTCGTTCCGCCAAACTTCGGTCAGCGACGAGGATAACTTGAAGATTCATAGCATTGCTGATTTAACAGGTAGTGTTAAAAGGTAACAGAATAAAGGCTCCTTCTTCATCAGAAGTGACAACTCTTCTCTAAAGCAGTTGACAAAACCAGGGGCACAGCTTAGATTTTCAAAAGGGGGCTTCAAAATCATAATATGCAACGGCTTCTGAAACAGTTCCCGCAATTGTGTTTTTTTGATTTTTCAACCTATTATGATTTTTCTGCCCGCAATTGTGTTTTTTTGAATTTTTATGATTTTTCTGCCCGTAAAAGATTCAATCAAAGACTCCTATGAGAATTTAATGTGTCGGTATTAATTCGACTGTGTTTAATGTAACTGGCGGTTGCGTCTACTTGTGACCAAATAATATCATTACTACAAAAATACCATAGGGATCTCCAGGCCAAAAAAATTTTTGAGATAAACTGCAGGATCATTTTCAATCTAGTTAAGTAATTTCGCGATCTTGCGAATTCGTCATCGCCCTTAGATCTGCGCCATCCCAAGATCTGCTACAAAAGACGAGAAAGTATAAATTAATTTAGTACAATAAAATTCGTATTTGTATACAAAACCTACATATTCACCGCTTGGAAATTCCTGTGGAACGGTTTATGAAACAGTTGCCACAAGCCGAGTTCTTCAACGGATAATGACTTTTCTCTTGCGCAAACAATCAATTCGTAACCTGGTATATATATATATAATATGTCCTGCTTTAATAGTTAGCGAATTCGACTGATGGGCTGTTCTTGCAACACTGCCGCTCGTATTTGCCCTAAGTCTGCGATAAAATCCCACGGATGATAGAATATACTTTAATCAATTTATTTTTGCTTCTCTGTCGAGAACGTGAAGACACATAAAAATTTCGAACAGGTCAACAAGGTGCAGAGAAAACAAGTAAGTTGAGCATAGCCTAAAATAAGGTTGAAAGCATACATGGATATGCGCTCATACACCTGATAGAAAAAACTCTTCAAGGAGTGAAACATATAAGCGGGAATGCTATTCTTAATCAACATGCGAGCGCGGTCCTTGCGAATACGTACAATGCAAATTGTAGGTCGCGAGTACAGCCATCAAAACGAACCAAGTGATAGAAAAAAAACGCCTAAAAGTAGTGAAACATATAGACACGAATTCTGATCATAGCCAACATGCTGTTTTGACTGTAAATAGGTACAGTGCAAAAGGAAGCCTACCTGTCGAATAGACCATTTCCATCAAAACAAAGTGATCTACATACACTTCATAATTTTGACCGGTGACAATTCCAGACACAAAATGGAAGTGTAGCGAATGTGCATTGTGTAACTATGAATTATATTGTATTTAACCATTTCATTTTAATAGTGTGTTCCATTTCCCACAATGGGTCATTTTATTGTAGCAACACTGATTACATGTACTGCCTTTCTCGTATCGACCAATTTGATGACGTATCGTCCCGGCTTGCCGAGAGGGCTGCATAATATTGTGTTTAGATTCACTCCTGTTTTTACTGCGTTAGGTGTGATGTGTTTAGTTTCACTTCTGTTTTTACTGTGTTAAGAGTTAAGTGTGTCTCGATTTTATCTGTTTTCGGAATTTGGATTGTGCATCTTCCTATAATATACAACAACGATTAGCATCAACACTGTGTGCTTATTATCGTCTGAAGGAGTCCAGATTGGAGTCACATTCCATAACGCGTGTCAAAACAATAACGCGGGAATCGAACTTAAAGATATAGGGTGATAGTCTTCATCCCTAAGACACATCAACTCCATCTTTTTCCCTATAGAAGCACTTCACTTGTCAAGCTTTAAAATCTTGTGTTCGTGTAATATATCGTCATTTTAGATTCGTGAATTGCAAGTAAATTTTCCCCATGTGAGGTTTCAGAAGGCTTTTCTGGTATTGCATTAAGTCTCTGGGATTGACTATAAAGCGCCAAACGAGCCATCACCAAATTTACATCAATTACCTTATAAATCGTAATCTCGTGGAAAGCCACATCAGTTTCCGTCTCTCCCCCGGCAGCACCATTTACTGTGTTTCAATTTCGGCGACGGTATGTTTTCCGAAGGTAACTGCTTATAATCCGTAGGCACACGAAGTTTTGCTATTTACAATGTCTAAAAGAGTTTTTAATCTGTCGGGGCCCCCCTAAAGACAAAATTTGGTGGTGGTATTTTATGTCGCTTTTCAATCTAGAGAATTTGGGGGGCCAATTCACTTTTTTATTTCTTAGCATCTCGTCGATGATTTAAAAAAAAAATTAATTACAAATATACTGATGTTGTAGAAAATTCAGTGATCTAGGGAAAATAAACATCACCCGGTTGACGAAAACATGGGTGAGTTTAATTAACAAACTGCACGCGTTATTTACTAGCGACCCTTCCGTTCTTGCAAAAATTTCAAAAGGGGGAGTTTAGATCCCGAAAACACCCCGGCTGCGCCGCTGTACAAAACAATCATCAAAATTAGATTTGAATTTATTAGCACAAAAAATCAGTAAATAAATATATATGAATAGCTCATTAATTAGATCTATTTCAGAAATATTATTAATTATCCAACACGCCCCAGCAGACAGTGCTCCCACTGCTTAGTTGGTTAGTTATTGCACATCGGAGGTTAAGCAAGGAATGTTGTTGGTCACAAAATATGAAGTCTTTGCATGGCTAAATTTGGGTTTGTAGCGATACTTGTTTTACGGCATCTTCAGTGCAAGGAATTCTTCTTTCCTCTTTTGATATTCATCCAATCTTTGCTGGGCATATCTGAAAAAGGAATCAACCATATGACTTCTGCCAGTCTTTCTAACACAGCGCGATCGTGCTAAGTGTTGGGAATACGCTCGCCACGGCTCCTTTGCGTGGGTTCGACTCCCATGCAGGTTATGTGCGAGAGGATTGCTGGACTTCTCGCCGCCGTAGGGTGTTTCACGTAACCGCTGTCAGTTACGGCTTCTTTCACCATCAAGTCCATGCTACCGAAAACAAATAATTAACTAATCCTATACCCGACATGGAATGGTAACCGGGCGAGAATCTGTGGTTCGCATGTGGTTAAGTCGTCTTATTGGCTTTCCTCCCCCCAGGATAAAATATGTAAATCCTATCCTAACACCTGGTATATAGGCGTGCAAGGTAAACCTGACAAGTCAGAGAACCAATTTCCAAGCTCAACTGCCCGTCTACATCTGTGGTGGTGATTGAAGAATATATGTTGCTTAGAAGAAGTATGGAAGTGTCAAGTTGCTTTCAATATTATATTAAATGAAGCTTGTACAGGGATATATGAAGCATTTTATATTAGTTTCATTCGAAAATTGATTATTTTGATCAAACCAACATCTAAACTCTGACATTTTGAGAATACAAAAATCGATCAAAACAAGGTTTATCTCGCCTCAGATTTCAATATTACAAATTTGAAAGTATTACATTAGAACATTCTTGTTTGAGAGCGTTTTTGTTTTTATCAACTTTAGGTGTAATTTGTTAACAAAGAATACTACTACATACCCCAGGTAGTCAAATTCAATGGATGAATATTTTGCTTGCGTCAGTGACCAAGTTCCCCACAAGAAATGTGCTGCCTGCAATAATGAACATTCACATTAAATAACTTGTCAAAGACTATGAAACAGAGATTTAAACAGGCTGCTAATACTGTAGGAGTTGAGGTGGCCTATAATAATGAAAACCAAATCGAGAGTTGCATACCGATCAATAAAAATCACTATACTTCTACCAAGATTGATATGCTCAACCGTCCCAACCTAGGGGTGAAGATATTCAAATGATTTGGTCAGAATCCGTTTGCATTGCTATTATCAACCATTCTGTGGAAGCTATGTTTAATAATATATCGGATATAGGAAAAAAAAAATTGGACCAAGGAAAACAATCCCATTATATAACATATTTGAAACACAAAATTATAGACATTTGAATGAATACATTTACAACATTGTACTATAAACTGATTTGATTAAAACCATATTTCGTAAGCAAATTGGAGAGTTTCTACAAAATGGGTAACTTGTGTAAACTATACACTATGTAGTACTACCAGTACTATACGCAACATACACTATATTCATTTTTCTATGCATCTATTATACATTTAAATGATTCAACTATAACTCATTTAGCCATAACTCACCAAAGCAAACTTATTGACTTGAACATACAATCTCTTTATATCATGATCTGATGGTTCTGTTCCTTTATTCCAATGTTTCAAGTATTCTTTGATCCAATCGATTTGAAGATTATAATCAGGATAAAATGAAAAGTCAGCATCATCGACTCCTATAAAAGATTGAAGCCTTAATCATCAGTGTAAAGTTTATGTCTTCGACTCAACTATAAAAAAGCCAGATATCAGTTCGAGCTTGCAAAAAGTTTGACCTTGGCTCCAGCTCAGAGGAGACCAAATCTTGATAAAAGCTTATTAATACATACACACATTTGTTGGGATTACCAGTATGTGATCAATTTTTCGCGTTTCAGATTACTGTCAGAAATTTGGGCCTTTACGTATTATATCATTAGAGGTCTGAAATTCTGACGCAAAGAATTCGGATTTTCAGCTTGGACTCCATTATCAAAGAAAACATGCCAAGTCCTGCTTTTTACAAACAATATTTTACCTGCGAACTCACAGAAGTGGTTTGCGATATCATAAGCTTGAAAGTTCATCCCAGTATATTCGAAGTCAATGAAATGGACAGAGTCTGGTAACAGAAAATATTTGTCATATATAATTTAATGAATTAGTTACATCTCTCGGTTTGCCAACGATTATTTAAGTTGTGTAATTCGAGAACATGGTAATTTTGGAAGCTTGGTAACAGGAAATAGACATACCGCCGATACCGGCCTTCAAATTTGTTGATGGATTAGTAAACTAATCAAATTTTATTATGTCCTGTTATATAGCTAATACCATATATATATGTTCAAATTGAACCTGATTATGCCTGGCCACTTACAATCTGTCCATATAGAAATATTATTGTCATGAAGGGTTTATGGATGTTGATTATTTTACACTATCAATACAATAACTTATAGTTAAATGAATATATATCACTTAGCACTGGTTATATTACTCACTTTTTTCATCATTATAAATAATGTTATTCAGTAAAAGATCGTTGTGACAATATACTAGTTGAGAGCCTAATTTGGACAGATGTTCTTCTAACATGTTCAATTCCTCGTGAAGTTCTTTTTCCAATGGGCCAGTATAACCATTCAGACTGAGAAATTTCAGTGTGGTGGATTAATAATGAGTTGGCAATTCATCCTCTTAACTTAGAAATAAAGTTATTGGTATGAGTGATAAGGAAATGATTTAAGTTCTCTATGTTATTTAATACTAATTACTTATTTTATAACCATCAAAAGTCTGCAATTTTGACTTCTACTCCAGTAAAAATTAAATTCCAGAATCCAAACCTCTACAGCTTAAAATGACAGGTAATACATCTCTAATTTCTTACCTCCTTCCAGGTGGTGAATTTTCTGAAAAGCTCAAATGCAGAAACTTGTTACAGTATCGAAATACAGCAGGAGAATTGCCATTGCAATCAATTTCAGGTTGAATCTTATGCAATCGTGCCATCTCTTTTGCTATTAATCTAAATATAATAGCTGATATGGGATTTCATCATCGAAAAAATCATAAATACAATTTATTAATGAAGCATTTGTTTCATACTTCGAATTTTTATTGCAACGAAATTCTATCTGGAAAAAAATGAAACATACTTTTCAATCTATTTGAAATTTCTCAGAAAATAAATAAATTGGATAAGACAGTAATCAGACAAATATAGAGCATAGTAAAAAGTTAACTATGCAGCATTATCAAATAAACTTTCTATGAATTTACAATACTTTCTCTCATTTCCTTTTCTGAACATGACTTGATTTAGAATATCAGAGAGATGGCCTAGCGGTTAAAACATTAAACTTCTCTGTGTTGGTTTGGCATCGCGGCTTACACACCCTGTGTTCAAATCCCATGATCACCCCGGTTGTAATCAATCGATTAAGGAACCGGAGAGAATACGATCTTTCCAAATAATAGTAGCTCATTATATATCGGTGGCTACTAGTGTAGGGCCTTGTTCAGAGTGAAAGATCAGAATACGCATCGTATAAAATATATAGTACATAATGTATTTTTCAATATGGGTTTATCCTCGTTTCTCACCTGTATATTTTTGGATCTCTGACTTGCTCACGAGAAACTGTGTTTCCAGGTATATATTCATAACATAGGCCGTTACTAAATATACAATAGAGATTGGGGGCACAACCAGCTTTGTGCAATGTTTTAAAGCTTTTTACCTAGGATATAAGAGATTGAGATACTTAACTCTTGTGATATTGTTAAATGATAATGTGTTATTCACAATTGAAAAAATCAAAATCAGTGTGTCTATTATAAACTTAAACACACTTTATATAGAAGAAAAATTACTTTCAATTTTAAGCTTTCTTTAAAGTATTGTTTTAATTATTTTCCAATTGTGCATGTTCTTAATATTATTTTATATCACAATAATATTACACGATTCTGCCAAAAAAAATAAAAAAATGCATTGAAAATATAAAATCAGTATCTGAACTGTACTGAGCAGCACTATTCACGTATACTATACCAGATTAATGCAGTGGCTCACAAAACATGCATGTTAAACGTGCATCAATCAATCTATCTTTTGAACTTGATACCATTTATTCAATCAAGTCTGTCTATAGACATAATCATTTAAGATTAGAAAATAAAGGTCACATATCGAATTGATTACATAGGCATATATGTTATAGAAATTTCCTCTATCATAATTTAATGTTACTGAGGTCAAATTTCATTTCTGGTGCAACATGTAAAGTAACCAAGTATGGGAAGCTTTGGCGTAAATAATAATTATTTCAATGGTCAATACATAATGTGGGGGTACCAATGAGTCATAAAATAACTTGTTAATTTATTGGGTATAAAACGATAATCAAAATCATTTTTTTAATAGAAAACTGAAAAAATCACTAGAAATTTAATTACCTCTGCATCTCTGTCCAGAAAAATCTCAGTTTTATTTCCATTTATCCTGATAAGCACAATGTCAGATTTATTCTCTTTATGTGTAAAACCTAACATTTTATTGGTGATACCGTTTGAAAACACCTGCAAACAATTGTATTGAGTTAATAAAAAGAAACAACGTACAAAAACTCATCAAAGACACTACTAGCAAAAATGTTAATATACTTTACTTTCATGGTTATATTTTCTTTGCTCCAGTTGGGTCTGACCAGGTGAAGTATCCGATCAACACCCTTTTCATAATCCTCCATATCAAGTGTCAGATCAATTTTTAGAGGCTCCACATACTGCTCACTCGACAATGCCATTGTATTTTGCTTGCAGTGAACTGGCTTTGTTGTAGTGTTTCAAAACGGTGTTAATTATTAAAATAATGATTATGACAATAGGTAAATTGATTATTTGTAAAAACATATTGCACCGCTTACATAAAGATCAACATACAATATTGCAAGAAGGCAACATAATAATTGTTATGGAATGAGTACATCCTGACATGTAACAGAAAATTCAATGTGGTTGCAAAGCACTAAATTATAGTACATGATATGATAAGTTTACAACTAAAATATGTTACACTCTTGCTTGAATGAAATGCAAACATTTGTTCAAATATTATTTGATTTTGAAATATTACAAATTCCTTTTAAACTCTAATTAAGAACTACCACACATAAACCACTACCTAAAAAAATTTAACACACCTTCAACACATATCTTATTCTAATGTCACAGAGACCAGTAAATTCAAGAAATGAAGCATTATAAATCTAACGATTCAACACACTTGATACTAGTCAATCATTGAAACAACCTACGACAACCGTTACTTAATTTTATCCTTCAAAACTTTAATCACTTCCGGGAATACAATTGATTGGAAATGCCCTCTGTCTTTAAATTTATGAAATTCAGTATTCAACTGTTTCGACACTTCAAGCTGTTCATTCCAATCTAGAAACGGGTCATCTTCTGATCCAAACTGTACGATCCAGTTTGTATTTTCTCTAGCTTTATCCCACAACCATGGTCGATTAAAATATCCCGCCAAACGTTCATTTTCAAGCCCACAATCTGTTGTATAAGCTCCCACAAGAATAATTCCATGGACTTTGTATATTTCACTAAAACGAATGGCTGCAACTGCTCCAGAACTATGTCCTATAATCACAGAGTTCTCTCCAATCTTCATTTCGTCTCTCATAAAAGGAACCCAGATTTTTTCTCTGGCTATCACAGGATCAGGCATGTTTCTCATCTTTAGAGATAAGTCAGAAAACTCAGTTGTTATTTTGTCATAAACCCAGCGATACCACATGCACTCGGCAAAAATATCGCCTCCACCATTTCCTGGAATAATAGCAATATCTTTGATAGCTGACATCTTAATTTTTGAAGGTTATGCAGTTATGTTATGATACGCACATTATTTACACACAGCACATATGAAATGAAAAATAAAAGTTGTTTATTAGTAATAATTAATGATATTTAATAGTATAATTTGTCACCTGGTACCGTCAATTCTCCAATTACTCCTTCAGCGGAATTCACACAATCGTGTGACAGATAATTCGCCATTTATTCTGGCGACTATGTCCACAATACGACACATGCTAACTCGTGCTCTGAATATGGCTATTGGTGTATTGTTTTCATTTTATCGATGCGTCGTTCTAACTCTACCGCCATTTGTTCCTGTGTTCGCATTGCATATGCAGGTATAACTCTTCCGTCAATTACTCGTACGCGTAATTGTAAATAGTTACGCTCTGTAGTGTATCCTATTACAAAAATACGGTACCGGTAACGCATTGCGGTCTGCAGAAATAGCTGCGCCCTTTTTATATTGCTCAGTGCATTTGCATCTTCGATTTAAAAGTTGTTGGCCTATTTTTATATCGTAAGTCTTTATTTTACAGTGTACTTTCGCTGTTTCTGGTTGACGGGCGCATATATATTATATACATAGAATATTCTACATTCTATTATATATAAATTATATACTACGTGTTAATAATGTCTTGGTCATATGTTAAGTTCTACACCCAAGCTATTATAGAATAAGGGTTCAACTGAATACGCTTACACTTCTTTATTACACCAGCACAGCACACAACATAAGATGCCTACAGGCTTACAGCAACAGACCATACTAGCGAGTGACGCAACTGCGACCATTGCGTTAGCACTAGACGTTAGCACAGCGTTTCCCAACCTTTTTTAGTCGCGGACTATTTTCTCACCGGCGAAAACCTTTGCGGACTCAAGGTGCGTTTATTGCAACCGTACTCTGTGTGAAAAAGCAATAAAAACCAAACACAACAGAATTTTAAATCGTAAATTCGCCTCAATTACGCGTTCGTTATACATGAGCCGACTTTTTAGTGTATAAAGGCCTTTTCTGTAGCACAATATTCAACCCATGACAACGACAAGAATTTAAAATGTCTCTCTATTTTAATTTAATTGTGTTCATGGCAACTCGCGGTTGTGTCGACTTACGACAAGATGAAATCATTACCTCTTTAAAATGCCACGGCACTAATGTAAAAATATATTACTTGTTTATATTTAGTTTTGATACATATTTTATGCGATATTGGGAATTTCTTTTCGCCGTTAGAAAAATCCTACTATCTGTTATAAATTTTCAGAAAGAACAACTTTATTTAGTACTTATTAAAAATATATTCGAAATGTATTAGTAAATCAAAAATACATATTCATCGCCTTGCTTTAATTTTAATTTGATAGTGATCGTTTTAATCTGCGGTTGTGTTGACGAAATAAAAACAATACTACTCAGAAAATATCATGACAATCCGTGGACACAAAAATGCGTGTTGAAGTGTCCGATTATATTTTGTTTTGATTCGTATTTTTGTGAATTCGACAAATCTGAGCTGTTCGTACAACACTTACGGCGCTCCAGTACCATACCTATCGATGTGGAGGCAGTAAAGCAAAGAATCCTAAGGCAAAATGCCCTGGTACACATACTACGGTAGAACCCGAAATTTTGCGATTTACAATTTCTAAAAAGCGTTTTTAATCGGTCGTGCACCATTATAAAACAAAACTTATGGTGTTCTCCGTTTTATTTTTGGTATATATATAGCAACTAACCCCCAAATGTACCCCATTTCATGTTAAAAATATGAAAACAAAGTTAATTTTTCCCAAAATTCGAACAAAGACTTTCGTAGGAATCAAATTACACCAGGTTTAAGAACATAACAGGTTCCATCTAGTCATTATCAAATTAAAATCTATATTCTCAAGACCTTTGGCACTGATTGAAATAATTATATCTAAGTTCCCATCCGTACGATGTACCTAATTACCCTTATTGAGATAATAGAAGTTTCTGTTTATAACGTGAATCACGAGCTCACGTTTACAGCATTTAATTGGATTTATGATCAACGTATAAATACGACTCCGAGATCTTTCGAAGGAGGATGATGTAAGAGAAGACGATGTAAACCATTCTAAGCTAGTCTGGATTAATGTTATAAGATTTTGTATTCTGTGTATCGTGGAAATCTGAGAATAAAATCAAACAGAGTTTTCTCAATATATATGCTATAAATAATAATGACTGTGTGGAACCTGTTATGTTCTTAAACCTGGTGTAATTTGATTCCTACGAAAGTCTTTGTTCGAATTTTGGGAAAAATTAACTTTGTTTTCATATTTTTAACATGAAATGGGGTACATTTGGGGGTTAGTTGCTATATTATCTCCCCATCTTACTAACTGGAAGTTTAAAGATTTGGCACCCTCTAATAAATTGAAAATATATAGAAAAATACAATACACAATGCTAAAATTAATGATATATATAGGTCAAAAAAATATTTACATGTATATGATCTACAATGAGACGAGACATTGAAGTAAAGAAGAGTTTATAGAAAGAGTAAAGATTGTAAAGTAGAATTACGGAAGGATGGCGTATTTTTATTTTAAAAATTTTGGTTTGGACGGTTAAAACATATTTTCAATTCAATGTATTTCGCTACGCTAAAATACTCAATGCTCGCAATATCGCATTGTTACGATTTTGTAGACCTAGTTGGTCAATATATGCTTGTCCCATGTCGGGATGAAAAAAACGCATTTTTAAGTTTATGCCATCTCAGGGCTTTTTTGAAAAAATAACGCTTTTGGATACAATTTTTGTTTAACGAGCTTATTATTTCACCGTTCTATGTGACGGCTTTGTAAATAATTAAAAGTATGACTCGCTCGAATCTACTTTTAGAAAGCATTTTAATTCAAACGAAATCTATTTAATCGAAAAGGAATGCTAACCACAAATATTCAATAATATAAATCTCTTGAAAGGTTTTGAAATCGGAATATTCAAAGTTGTTACCATCAATTAATTTATAAAATGAAAAGTCGAATGAAACGCCATGTATATATAAGAAGAAAAAGAAGTACTTTACCTTAGTATTAGTGGAAGAATGAAAAATGTCTGTCTCAATGAGGAGAAAAACTTGCAAATCATGAAACAAATTGTGGAATTACATGCTCCTGATCTGTATATCCAATAGGTAAGCGCGACAATTTCTCTATTGTTCGGAATAGAGCGCGTAATTTACAGTAAAACAGTCCATATAGTTCATTGTTTTCAACAGTTCGTTTTTGATTAGGTTTTTCACCTCGAACATATATCATTTTCTAAAAAAGTTCATTTCGATCGATGTTCAATACAGTCCATATTCATGATTTTAACGTTTCCAGAGTCCGTTACCATAGTTCAACTGTTTTCAATTGAGATTATTGTCTTTTCATAATGTTCTTCATTATTTCGACTTGCCAGCAATTTGCTACTTCAATCGTTGTTCCAGGCAATTTGAATCTCCCCGACGTTCGTAAGTTCGCACGTTTTGTAGAGGCGGTTTTCGGCAATTGTTGAAAACTTTCGCTTGGTCAGCTTTTTCGTTGATTCCGTTCAATTGTTGCCTGTCCTGATTGTTGTCCGTTGATCTGGTCCGTTTCAGAAGGTTAATTCAAGTCGGTTTTGTCACCATTTATAGCATGTATTATTTGTAAATGAATGAGATGTTACCGTATATTGCTAATTTGTAGATTGTCTCTGACTTGCAAGTTACCCGTTCACCCTTCAGCTTCAACGCCCACGTGGATGAAGGAAACTTTAGAAAACTCTGTTTGATTTTATTCTCAGATTTCCACGATACACAGAATATAAATCTTATAACATTTATCCACACTCGCTTTGAATGGTTTACATCGTCTTCTCTCGTCCTATCGAAAGATATCGGAGTCGATTGTACATCTAATTAAATACTGTAAACGTGAGCTCGTGATTCACGTTATAAACAGAAACTTCTATTATCTCAATAAGGGTAATTAGGTACATCACGTCGGGGTCACCATTTATAGCATATATATTGAGAAAACTCTGTTTGATTTTATTCTCAGATTTCCACGATACACAGAATACAAAATCTTATAACATTAATCCAGACTAGCTTAGAATGGTTTACATCGTCTTCTCTTACATCATCCTCCTTCGAAAGATCTCGGAGTCGTATTTATACGTTGATCATAAATCCAATTAAATGCTGTAAACGTGAGCTCGTGATTCACGTTATAAACAGAAACTTCTATTATCTCAATAAGGGTAATTAGGTACATCGTACGGATGGGAACTTAGATATAATTATTTCAATCAGTGCCAAAGGTCTTGAGAATATAGATTTTAATTTGATAATGACTAGATGGAACCTGTTATGTTCTTAAACCTGGTGTAATTTGATTCCTACGAAAGTCTTTGTTCGAATTTTGGGAAAAATTAACTTTGTTTTCATATTTTTAACATGAAATGGGGTACATTTGGGGGTTAGTTGCTATATATATTTTGTATTGCCGCTTTTCAATTTAGAATAGACTCGCGAGAAACACCCCTTAGGTATATCTATCGACGTGTGTGCCGACTCGTGTTTTCGTAGGAAATCCGCAAGTGAGTTGTGCAATCCATAGTAAATTGCTATTCTAATAGTTGAATATTCGAATAGATGCCCAGCCCTACTCAGTATCCAGTAAATATTGGCTCGATTAATGTTATGTGAATAAACTTGCTTTTTATGTTTCATTCAATTCTAACATAAATCATAACTTGGCTGATAGTTAAGTTTCGCGAAAACGTTTGCGGCCCGCAGTGAATTTCTGGCTCGTTGCGGACTCATTCAAACGCTCCGCGGACTCGGGTTGGGAAACACTGCGTTAGCACAATCAATTATTAGGGACGTTACTCGACAAGGCATTATTAGCCATCATCAACATCCCTCTTTGTTTAAGATAAATTTCCTAAATTATTTTCAAATTCAGAATAGGAAATATTCACCTTTACCTATTACACAATTCATGACCACTACAATTAAGACACATTAATGAGCAATAATATTTAACACTCAAATTCAAGGTATAGTCACTACCGAGTCACATAGTCTTTCATCCAAATAGGAAGTTTACGATTTCGACGAGGTCTGGTTGGAACATCATTCGAAATCAGAGGTCGAGAATTGTCATTGGCAACCGGAAGGTTGTTCGGCTTATAGTCAGACAAGAATGGAATACTTGGTTCATATTTTTCGATACTACAACTTCCATCAGGACGGATATGAACACGATTTCGTCTGTATGTAACACCATCCTTCGATTTGACAATGTAAGATCGTGTAGCAATTTGTTTCACAATAGTTCCTTTATTCCATCCCTTTCCGTTCTGGATGTTGAAAATATACAGCTTCGCCCAAATCAAGTCCTCGCATTGGTCTTGTAGATTTGTCATAACTCTTCTTAACGCTGTGCTTCCGACGCAGACGTTTCGAATCCTAGTT